GAGAGAGAGAGAGAGAGAGAGAGAGAGAGAGAGAGAGAGAGAGAGAGAGAGAGAGAGAGAGAGAGAGAGAGAGAGAGAGAGAGAGAGAGGCATTGGAATGGAACAGGCACAAGAGGGGGGGACGGGAATTCAATGGGACGTGACGGATGGATACGAATGGGCGCTTAAATAAATGGGAATATATACATATATAAATGTGGTTGGTTGGGATGGAGAATGTGGATGAGATGGACGCGTAGAGGGATAAAAAAAGATGGATTAATAACTGCATGATGAAATGGATTGCATCTCTGTCGGCCTGGCATTATAAAGTAGGGAGATCAGGATGCAGCTCACAGGATTGCCTTGGCAGGGCAGCAATGTTGAACTCCTCCAAGTATTGTTTTTCTTCTTCTTATGATTGATTGACTTCTTCGCACACAACACATGCTATCTTTGTCAGCGATTTCTTTTTGCGTAGTGCTGAGATCATTTCTTTTTGCATCACGAAATCGTGCTCTGATATCTTTGTGACGATATATGGGCGTCGCCGCACGGGACACGAAACGAAAAACGAAACGAGAGCATCTTCCTGCAGAAAATGGCCAGGTTCATCGGTTTGCGATAAATATTAACGACTGTATGTTGCCACCTTTCCTGGTCAGATGCATTCGTTTCGTTTGCGTTTCGTGTGCCCTGCGGCGAGCCCCTATATGTATGTATATCGTTGGCAGTTCACCTGTATGTGTTGCAGGATTTTTTCACTGAAGGCATTTCTTTTTTATTCTTTTTTATTCTTTTTTTTTCTTTTTTTTTGGGGGGGAATGAAGGCATTTCATGTTCAAAAGTTCTTGGCTAAGATCAGTTCAATATCTGATCCGGAAAAAAAAAAGAAAAAAAAAAAAAAGTTCTTTGTTTACTTCTTTTTTTTTCTGGCTGACATGTCGGAGTCCCCCTACGGTCGACGGTTTTTTTTTTTTTTTTTTTTTTTTTTTAGGTGGGATGCGATTTCCTGGACCAAAAACATAGACCGTCGTTGTCCCCCAGCCCTCGTGTACGACTCTCACAACGGGCCTCGCTCCACTACCGTAGTAGTCAGCATTAGCAGGAGAGAGAGATCTAATTATTGTGGAGGTGTATCTTCCCATGTTCTAGTGGAAGATTCATTCTCATTATTTGCACATTTCGTGAGCAGCGGAGCGAGGCCCATTCCTTCGTCAATCGACATGCCCAAGTGACCACGTGCTGCGAGAGACGATTCGCTTCCACGTGTCCTCAGCCTTCTTCTTCTCCGTTTTCACCCGTTTCGGTTTTTTTTTCCCTTCTTCTTTTTTTTAAAAGGGCAACGGCCTTGGCATACCATCGTTGAGCTGGTCGATCGGCCCGAGGTAATTTATAAATTTTTGTTGTATTCTGTGCACCGGATTGCATCTGGATTCGAACTTGGGTCTGATTCATATTTCAACAGGTCATGGGGTGTACCACCTGAGCTACGCCCTCGTTGGTATGGCAACCATTTTTTTTTTCGCCCTGCAACCACCTCTCCCTCTCTTCTCTCTCATCATCTGCATCCTCCTGCATTCCCTCGCTCTATCGCTCGAATCCTCCTCCTCCTCCTCCTCCTCCTCCTCCCCCTCCTCCCCCTCCTCCTCCTCTCCTTATGCTCCTCTTTTTTCTGCTTCGCACTCACCGAGCTCCCTTCTCCACCTCCGTCTTCAAGTTGACGTCATCATGTCATCGACGCGGCGAAGACATAGGGGGCCTCGCGCTCCACTACTCTCCACATGCACAAAAGACAACAAGAATTTCGGTGTATCTGTCCATTTTCTAGTGAAAGATTCATTCCCATTCTGCACATTTCGTAAGTCCTGGAGCGCCCGAAAAAAAAAAAAAAAAAAAAAGTACTGGAGCGAGGCCCGTAGAGGAGGCCAGAACGTACGGAGCCGAGACAAGGAAATCGTGGCGTCATTGATGATAAATGTAATGAGAACAGGCTGAAGCGGACGAAGAAGAGGAGAGAGGGGGGAGGGGAGGGGAGAATACGACGAAGAAGAGGAGGGGGAGGGGGGGGAAGAATACGAGCAGTCGCAGGAGGAGGTAGAAGAAGATGGATGAGGGGACGGGTGAGGTGGAGATGAAGAAAAGGTGCGCAACGAGTGAAACTCAGGGCCAGTTCCCACTGGCAAAGAGGAATGGAAGAAGTGCCTGAATCTGGACGTGTTCCACGGAGGGGTGCAGAAAAGTAGATCAATCACAATTTTTCGCACCTGTCCACAAACACGTCCACGTGCAGACACTTCCGACAATCCTCTTGCCAGTGGAATCGCGCCCTAGAGGGGGGGGGGGGGGGAAATAAAATGGGCAGTGGCCGGCGTAGAACACTGTCACAGTGCAAAGTTTTGAACAACTTACCCGAGGAGCTTGTCACACACCTGAGGAGCTTTGTCACACACTGCTCCGTCCCCAGCACCAATCAATCAAAACCGTTGGGACCCCGTTGGGACCCCGTTGCGACCTGCCACAATAACGGCCGCACCCGAGATAATGAGATTGTGACTACGTTCGACAGTACAAAATGGAAGAGGGAACTACTCTAGGGTATCTTTTGTTTTTTGTTTTTTTTTGCGGGGGGGGCTGTCCCCATCAAAATTCAGTTCATTCCATAATCAAGAGCTAGAGGCCGGCCATACCTTTCTCGGCCTTTTGGCTAAGATCAAGTGTAGTTTCTGTTCTGATCAAAAAAAAAAAAAAAAAAGAGCTAGAGGCCGGTAGCAACCAGCCTACGTAGCCCAGTTGTGGTCAGACACAAGGTAGAATCCAGATACAATCAGGGCATATCCAGGGCATACTCACACGGGGACCTATAATCCCAAAATCAAGGGTAAAAGGCCGGTCACACACATCTACCAAATTCGCAAATGTACTAGTCCAGTGCCCATTTGTCAGCGGCCTGGCCCCGGGGCAAGGGATTTTGCGGTCACCTCTGGAGGTGACCCCAAATGCCCTTTTTCATTTGTTGCATTTTTCTTCGGAAATTGGCAAAAATTCGTTCACAAAAGTTCTTGCACAATTAGTGGATGGCCCCGTGTGACCAGCCAAGTACCAAATCCCAAAAGGCAGGTCACACGGATCTACCAAATTCGCAAATGTACTATTCCAGTACCCATTTGTCAGCGGCCTGAGAAGCCGCGGGGCAAGGGATTTTGCGGTCACCTCTGGAGGTGACCACAAATGCCCTTTTTCTTTTTTGCATTTTCTTCAAAATTGACAAAAATTTGTTCACAAAAGTTATTGCACAATGGGCCTCGCTGCACTACTCTAGACTCTCGAATTTTCGAGAGTGGGTCGTCACTGCACTTACTCTCGATCAGGAAACTCTCGAAACCCGATCGAGAGTTGTCAGAAGGCACTCTATAATGCAACTCTCGAAACGTCGAGAGTCCCCCGCCTGCAAAAATGGAATATGCAAGTGTCATCGGGAGTTGCCCGCCAACAGGCTCGTTTTTCGAGAGTGAACCTCCTGTCCCGGCGGCCAAACTTCGCCCCGTAGCGCAGTGTTGCAGCTCTTCTGTCGAGTAGGACGACGCCCAGGGTTTCAAGAGTTCACCTAGTATAATACGTTATAGAGTAAGTGCAGCGAAGGCGGGTATTTCGAGAGTCTCGCCTCTCTGACAATGCTAGTCGAACTCTCTAAATACTTCGAGAATCTAGAGTAGTGCCGCGAGGCCCAATCTGTGGATGTCGCCGTGTGACCAGCCAAGTACCAAATCCCCATTTCTCCATATGGTCGCGACCTTGTCCCATTTGAAAAGGTACAGCAGTGTGACGTGAACCGTGCCCAAAACCTGAAATCGGCCCTTCCCAAATCTGCATATTTTGTGGATTTATGATGGCCGTGTGAGTATGCCCTCATATCAGATGCCCAGAATAACATAACACGATTCTGAATTACCTGGTGCCGGTCAGCTCCAATGATGATACCTCAAGGTCGTCGCCCTTGGAAGCATTACATTACTATCCAGCTTCGCTTACAGACCACCGCCTGCGGGACTTTCTTTCTAGCCCCTCACAGACCCGAGTTGATCTGGTCCTTCTCTACCCGGGGCCAGGTCCCACTAGCAAAGAGGATTGGATTAAGCTCCTGAATCTGGACGTGCTTTAAGCAGAGGTGCAGAAAAGCAGTTCAATCTCGATTTTCTGCACCGCTCTGCAAACACGTCCTGATGCAGGCAGTCAATCCAATCCTCTTTGTTGGTGGGACCTCGTCCTCGAACTACCTATCGCCTACTGTTGCTACTACTTTATTATTACAACCGTTCCCTGTCTTACTTACCTGCTCTAAGGCGAGCATCTGGAACTCGTCCAAAGGACTAAAGCTGCACCCAAACACTAAACACCCGACTGTAGTTCGAGTTCGTGCACCCTATTCCGGTTACTAGTTGATGTAGAGTGTTCTTCCAACCCCTCTTACCCTCCAACTGCTCCCTTCCTCCTGTGGAAATGAGGACCAAGCATCCAAGTTTTTTTTTTTTTTTTTTTTTTTTTTTTCCTGACTAAGTGGTAAAACGCCACTTAGCACACACTAACCTGCCTTCCTGAATTTCTGCTATTTTGTTGTCCCTTGCCCACGAGCCGCAAAACCACATCATACCCTCTAATACCTCTATTTTATTTTTGGCTTTGGAGACTTTGTTGCTACAGCCCGCCCTGATCGCAAACCTATATTATTTTTTATCTTTGACTTGAGGGCATGGTCAGATAGAAACTTCTTCTCAAATACAACTATGTTTTTTTCTTTCCAAATAACTCATAAGATCACGCCCCTGATGACTGTTGTTTTGTTGGTTGAGGTTGGACTACCATTGCCCAAAAGATAATCCAATTCTCACCCAAATTAAAATTGTTGGTGCTATTTTTTTTTTTTTTAAAGCTATATTTTTCTCTCAATTTCACCTCATACTACCTACCTACCACTACTCATAATTGTAGGCATACGGGGAACCCTGTCGCAGCCAAAACTGTGTTCACGAGAGAACATGCGGGGGTTGCTCCCGACCTGAAGGTGGGTGATACCGGCTAGGGGACAGCCGGTAGCATCAGGGACCATACCAGCAGGACCAATCCCTGTGCCTCCCCTCAGGTCCCCTCCCATACGGCGAAATTGAATACAGATATACCCTAAAGCACATATATAACAGGCAAAAAGAAAAACTGAGAAAAAAGTAAAAATTCAGGGAAATGTGACAGTTTCGGTGAAAAATTTGCCAAAATTTGCTGAATTTTGGACCTTCCATTAACCACCTCTCCTCTAAGGGTATCTGTTTCGATCGGTGGTCCATCCAGCCATATGAAAACAAAAAAAAACAAAACCATAAAAAAATTCAAGGGTGGGATCACACATTGTGTTAGCGGGGAACCTTGAAGGCGATCTTTGCAATTCTATAAATGACGGTTTTGGTGGGCGTTCATTAGACGGCCACAAACGGGGCAGGAAAAAAAAAATCTTCCATAATAGGCAACCCCCCCCCTCTCCTTAAGCTAGTGCTCCACCGAAAGCGAAATACCTCCAACTGCCCCGCACTCTACTACCAAACTCCTCGTTTTTTTTGTTTCAGAAAACGCTCCCGCATAGGTGTGGAAACCAGTTAACATGTCCCGCTCCTGCATACTATGTCACTACACCACTGAAAATTGCACCGTCCATCCTTCAGGACATCCGTTAAAATTGGAACGATATAGATAAGATTTAGCATGACCCCTGCGCATGATAAACAATATAGGGAAAACTAGGGCGCTATCACAACTTTAGTTTGAAAATGCGTTTCAGTTATAATTTCGTTAATATTGTGTCAAACTGAGGAAAATCGTGAATGTATACAACACAGCTTAAGAGTCTGGTGGGGATGTGTTGTATTCAAGGGATGCATAACTTGCATTTGAAACTAAAATTGTGACTGTGCCCTAGATACCAAAAAAATATAAAAATTGCATGTGCCCTAGTTGCCCCAGAAATATAAAAATTGCACCGTCCCACTGCGCACTAGAGTTGCAATAATCACCTTCCCGTCGTGATTAAGGTTCCTAGTTTTTCCAACACATGGTAAAAAATTGTAATGCGGTTGTAGTGTGGCCTAGGCAAACCGAACTCAATTTCAAGTCACCTCCCTGTGGAGGAGGGGGAAAGTACAGGTGGTAGAAACCATCAAGGCGTATAGGAATGAGGAGGTGTGAGGAGGACACACCTTCACTGCGACCAAAAGGATGGCGTATTTGAAGGAGAATCTATGAGTGGCGATTCAGACAAACTTTGATTGGTCCACACAGCAGGCGGGTGCACAGGCGAGATGGAGAGAGATTCCCTTTGGGAGAGCTTGGGGTCACATCTTGTCATGGATACCATGACATTGTTGGAAGTTGGTCCTTTTTGCTTAGTTGATACACCCGTGAACTGTTGAAATACAGACCCAAGTTCAAATCCAGTTACAATCAAATGACCAAAATAAAATCATTATGAATTATCATGGGGCGACCAGTTCAATGATGATATCTTAAGCCCGTCATCCTTTCAAAAAAAAAAAAAAAAAAAAAAAAAGGTGGCAGAACTGTAAAAATTGGGGAAACAGAATAATGTAAACGACATGGGAGGAATTATAAAAATTAAGAAAAAACGATAAGGCAAATACAAGAATAAAACAAATGGAACAGGTGACAAGGATGTGGAAGAAACTGGGGGTATAATCATGGGAAAGGAGGGACAAAAGGATGGAAAAGGGTTGGGGGGGGGGGTTGCTTTTGCTCCCTCAAAATAACAGAGACTCGTCATGTCGACCGCCAACCTACTATAGGCATTGGGTACCAATGAGCGTCTCCCGGTTATAGTTGTCCGGATCAGGTCAAGCAGACCCTCTTACTAAGAGGGGAGGGAAGAGAAACATAAGGGGGGGGGGGCGGGGATCCACTCATGTTAAAATTTGGTGGAAAGATATTCCCTTCGAGGGAACGTGAGACCATATCTTGTTCTTAGTAGAGCCTATGAATACAATGACATTTTTTTAATTTGATCCTTTTAGCTTAGTTAGTGCATCCACGAACTGTTGAAATATAGACCCAAGTTTGAATCTAGTTACAATCAAATGACCAAAGTAAAACCATTCTGGATTATTTGAGGGCGGCCAGTATCTCAATGCAGTCGTTCTTAAAAATTAAAAAAAAGTAATGGTGGGAAAATTTTAAAAATTAGAGAAACAATATAAGGTAGAACCAAGTGGGGGAACTGTACAAATCGGGGAAAGAGGATGACATAAAATACGGGGATACAATAAATAGAGCATGTGACAAGAATATGAAAGGAATTGAGGGTATGTACAAAAGGATGAAAAAAGGTTTTGGGGGAGAAATTGATTATGATCCCTCCAAAGAACAGATATCCGTCGGGCTGACCTCTAGCCTACTATAATGACTAGGTACCAATGAGTGTCTCCCTAGCGGACCCTGTTACTAAAA